GACATACATATATATATATATATATATTTTTTTTTTGTTCTAATTCGGATCAAGAAAAAATTATTTCGATATACAGCTTTTACACCAAGTTATTGTTATGTTTTTGGACCTTGGTTCTGCTCCCTTCAACAGTACGCGCTTCTAAGTTTGCCTATGAATATCTTGTTATATTCTTTATAATTCAGCTGCGAAATTTCGAGGCTAAACGTGACTATGATATCAATCGGATTAAAAACGAGATTTCGTTCAAAAAGATCGAATGGCCTCGGTCGCGCTCTTTCGCATATTGCAACTGTCCATGTCTCGTTGATCAAGACAAATTGATCCTCACGGTGATGTCATGACTCCTAGCCAAAGGCATAGAGAATAGATTGAGGGATCTGTGTATCAAAATGGTCGATAAAAGTAAGAGAGAGAGAGAGAGATCATGGAAGACGACCATCTCTATCTCTTTCCATTCAATTGTGTAATGGGAGAGAGAATGAAAGGGAGATTGACCGTCTTCCATGATCTCTCTCTTTCATTATTGTCAACCACATTTGAATACTATTTAAATACGGATCGCGCAGTCCATTCTTTATGTCTTTACTCCTAGCTAACAAGACGATTTTCCCTGCGCGTGTCCCTTAACTACCATGGTCTTGATCAAGTTCGTCCAGCGATTCGAGCCTCGCGATCGGTGCCTCGTTTATCGTAAACTCCCACGACATATCTTCACTGGTCTGTCTCGAAGAGTCTTGTTGTCGGGACCCGGTCGTCTGTCCCCTACTACTATTCTCATGTCTGCTCTCAGATCGACCCTGTTGTCCCGATGTGGACTCCGCGCCGCCACGATGATTCGAGTCCTTGCGCGAGTCTCCGCTGCGTGGATGTTGGGCGCTACTCCGGTCCTCCGGTACCACACAACTCCAGGAATCTTCACCCTCTGGCTCCGATCGCTTATTGAACGAGCTGTATCTACCACAAGGCACGCTTTTGTCAATGATGTGATAGTGCGGCGTTCTACTGGGTGTTGAATATGGCTACTAAACATGAATGATCGGTATCCATGTTTAGCAACCGACACTAGCAGTGACACGTTTTCCAGTCTAAGATTTTTAAATGAAGTTGGAACAAATAACAAGTAGCTAATTATTGCTGAAGAGCGAAAATGCGTCACTGCCAGTTTTGCCAATTTCTAATGCAAGATGATTAAAATCTAGATTAGTGTTTTTCAATTTTTTTCAATTCGTGGCACATTAAATAAATAACAAGTAAATTTTTCAAGATGTCATTAGGTACACACGCTTCAAATATTCAGCATAAGTCTTTTAGATTATATTTACTACAATTTACACAACTTACACATTATTAACATGACGTTCAGAAATAAATAATAAAATTCTAAAGTTTTAGTTCTTATTCTTTTAAAAGCAATATTATTATAGTGACAATACTTTGATTAAATGAGAATAAATATAATTTAGATAATTTTCATAATAGATAATTTTACAAATATTGTTTATTTTGCGCATTATTTATTTTTTTATAAAACTTGTTAAGACGTATCGTGTTGCTTGTAACGAAAATGGAATCACGTAATACGTATAAAATGGCATTTTTAAAATATAATATCGTCGAAACTATTATAGCAAAAAAGTTTAAGCTCTGCCGCAATATAATTGCCGAGTATAACATTGATCGCATAACATCGTACAGCGATCTTAAATTGTGTTTCTAAAACTTCAGCAAGCTTTTTTGCTGTAGCATCGTCAAGCTTCACATAAAAAAAAAACGCATAATTGTAGTGCGATATCATACAATTCTATTTTCGTTATAAGTAACATATCTTAAGATTTTTAACTGCTCCAAACTGAAAGAATGTAGAGTGTCATCAATTGGAGTTGAAGTAAGAAAAGGACAAAGTAAAAAATGATCAATAGTTTCCTATAGGTTGTGTACAGTTGCTAATATAAAAAGAATTGCGAATAAGATTCGAAGTAAACAATATTTTAAAAATTATGGAAATTATCTAAATTATACTGTGTGTGTACTCTTATTTTAATTTAGTAGTAATATATTAGGTGTACAACTTTGCTTCCGCCGTTTTCCTATAGATGGCTTTAGCGGTAAGTGGTGGTCGAAATAAATAGATCATAGACGTCATACAATAAACTTGGGCATCTGTCAACATAACCTCATAGAAACATTATCGATTTGTGTCTGCATCATAAAGTTATTCTCGATTGAAAATGTCAGTTTACGAGCCAAATTCTCGTCATTTGCGGGAGGTTTTAATTTTTTGCTTCAATATGAAGAAATCTGCGGCTGAGGCTCATCGAATGTTCTCAAATACTTATGGTGAGGCCGCTAATAGTGAAAGAACGTGTCGTGAGTGGTTTCAACGCTTCAAGAACGGTGATTTTGACGTCCAAGGTCATGCTCTGTATTTGGTGGGACCAGCTCGGAGTAGTGTATTATGAACTGTTAAAACCGACTGAAACAATCACAGGCCCATCGCCTGTGCGTTTGAGTCGAGCATTGAAAAACAAACGGCCGCAATACAACGAGAGACACGATAAAGTGATTTTGCAGCATGACAATGCTCGACCCCATGTTGCAAAAGTGGTCAAGACATACTTGGAAACGTTGAAATGGGAAGTCTTACCCCACCCGCCGTATTCTCCAGACGTTGCTCCCTCTGACTATCACTTGTTTCGATCACACGGCCTGGCTGACCAGCACTTCCGGTCTTATGAAGAAGTAAAAAATTGGATCGATTCGTGGATAGCCTCAAAAAATGACCAGTTTTTTCGACGCGGGATTCGTACGCTACCCGAAAGATGGGAGAAAGTAGTGGCCAGGGATGGACAATACTTTGAATAAATGTATAACCAGTTTTTTACAATAAAGCCTCGAAATTCGGAAAAAAAACAGCGGAAGCAAAGTTGTACACCTAATATAATAATACTAGTAATATTGCTATTGCAATAAAATTATATTTAAAAGAATAAAATAAGAACTAAAATTTTAGAATTTTATTGTAAGAAATCTGCCCTAAAAATGTTAAATCTTTGTGTATACCTTTGTTCCTCTCTCTATTGTGGAAAACAGATATTCGGTATTTAGGGAGATCTTATCTTGAGGAATACCTTCACCAAGGACCACCAAGGGCCATGACCAAACAGCTGTTTCAGTCGACAATAGTACGCAATGATATGAGAAAACTCCGCACCGTATTTCACCGAGCGAGTCGAGAATTTGCAAATTTTTTTTATTAAACACGTCCAACTTCTAACTCTTGTAAAATTATAGTCCAGCGTGACTTCTGGTTATTTCCTATATTAAAAAATCCGATATTGAAAAATAAATCTAAACGCGAGGAAGTTGTTGACTATTACAAAAAATAACTTCCAGGATTTCTAGAAATGGATGGACCGCTGGAAAAAGATCAAAGGATACTATATTAAAAGCGATATAGATCATATCACTCTGAAAAAGTTCTTTCTCATATAAGCAGAAGTCGAATATTTTTCGGATCTCGAATTTATTTCTGAATATCGTGTTAATAGTAAATAATAAATTTCATTATTTTTGCCAATCACATATTTATACTTTTTCACTTTCTTTTTTCACTTTCTTAAAAATTTTCGTAGCATACTTGATTGAAGATTTTTTGCGGCACACTTGATTGGAGACTTTTTGTGGCACATTGATTGAAAAATCCTAATTTAGATCAATTTTCTATACTAATACTAAGATCAATAAAATTCTCTAAATTAATTTATAGAAATAACTAACCTTATCTCTATTTATACAATATTTCTTTTAAAGTACTTCCCTTGTGCATTACATCAATTTTTCCACGTTTGTAGGAAGCATTCCTGATAGCTCTTTTAGTGTTTTCATCACATTTTCAGTAATTTCTTTGTGCGTGCGCACAAATCATTTCTTCAGAACTTTTTTTAAGTGCAAAAATAGAAAATAGTTAAGCGAGATTAAGGAGAATACGGCCAATGATATGCTTAGCAAGTACTAGCACTAGCGTACTACTCAACATAAAGAATTTATATGTTTTAGATAAACTTTTTGAACAGATCAACTTTTCTTTCTTTCTCAACAATGTGAAAAGAAAAAGAAGAAAGATGAACCGTAAAAAAAATTCAGAAAAAAAAGAATAGGCTTATAGATATTTTCATAGTCGGTTCTCATTCAAGATCGTCTTAAGTATAGTCATAAGATGTCATGAACCAGTATTAGTATCTTAAGACGATTTTAAAATAAAAACTGATTATAAATAGCGACCTTAGTGATCAATATTATCATGTAAATTATAGAAGAAATTAGCTGTTTCAGGCATTTTTATGATGTTTTCTCATTTTTGTCATGACGGAGGATTTCGACGTATATGAAAAAATAATAATTCGCGAGCGCTGAGGAATATTGCAAACAGCACTGAAAGAGTTGGAGATCGAAAACTGATTTGCAAGAATATTTCTAAACTCTTTACAAACGTGGACTGCCTAAAGGAACTATTTTGAAAGAATAGCAAATAAAGATAAGATTATAATTATTTCTGTGTTATAAATCAAGATTTCGAGAATTTTTTTAAACTTACTAGTATAAGATAAATTAAAATCCAGGTGAGTCTAGTGAGTATAGAAAATTATCTAGGTCTTTGTACCATGTTAAAAATCTCTAATCTCTAAAATTTTTAGAGTGAATCTCAGTCTGAAGAGTTAAATGTCAGCTTTAAAATTAAAAATTGAGCCACTCTTTTTCAAGACTGGCTCAATTTTTACTTTTCAAAATGAGATTCCATTCAAAGAATTTGGAGAATATAATATCCTTTACTAAATTACCTACCCACTCCGATATTCGCCTCTCCTGAAAGCAGCAGGTTGGCTGTGCCAGGCGTGGGCCTGTTGCTGCGTGCTAGTCGGTATCGCCAGGTCAACCGGCTGGCTATGCGACCTCGTGGGTCCGGGCCGACCATTCAATGCCGTTTGTAACGCCGTCGCGAGTGCGGATGTATCCGATGTAACGGTCAGCCGCGATGTTCCCGACGATGTGGAGGTCGGATCTCTCATGGGAGCTCTATTACAGAGAGAAGCGAAGCTCGTATCAGTAAGTCAACAAGCAGATGGCTAATTTTCATAAGAGAACCGCTAAGGATAGTCGAGCGAGATATATACTTAAAGCGTACGTGATTATGTACAGTGGGATATTCGAGACAAGCCTCTAATCTTCTAAGTTTGATCCCGAGCAGTGTCACGGACCCCGCGCGCTTGGAATTATCGGCCGCAGTGAAATCGATCATTGATATCGATCGATGAAAATTATAAATGAAGAACGATCATGAGAATAATCTATCTAAACGTGCATGGAAAATGATTTATCCTAGAGATCGGTTCCGTCAACGTCGATTTCAATCAGAGTTTAATTGATTGCTTCAAAAAAGATAAAAGAAATCAATTAAGATTAAAGTGAACCGAGATTGACGAAATTGCCGAAGTGTTTTCTTCTATAGAAATAAAAGGACTAGTCAAATTAATTAGAGACTAATCGGACGTATGAAGAAAAATACATACCAGCGAGATCAGATAGAAGAAATAAGAAAAGAAGTACGAATACGTGCAAGTTAGAGAAAAAAATATCTTCTAATGAAAAATTATTCTTATTTTAACGTAAATGCTTTTTACTTTTCTCACATTTCTATAGATATTCTTTCTAAATACTGAATGGCTACGTGAATTGATAAGCTTTCGAGGCGTGCGACATTAGAGATGATAATACAGAAAGAGAGTGTCAAAAGTATGATATAGTTCTAAAGATTATAGAATCTCAGAGTAGCGGCACATCACCTCTAGAAAAAAATCTATTTTGTTTTAAACTAGTTAAATGCTTTATATAAAATTGTAGTTTAAACACGATCC